CATAGAGAATGTCCATGCTGCATAGAGAAATACGAGAGCCATGGCACTCTAAACACTGAAATATGTGATACTAGAGATGGAAATCGTATGTCTCCAACCACAAAGCATTAAGTGTCTGAAATAGTGTGATATCCCATAACGAAGCATTATTCTGTGTAATGCGGACAGGATTGCCTGCAATTTTAAGAAAAGTAAATAGTGGCACGACTGAAAGCAATTGTTTGGTGAGATTCAGAGTCTTGTTTCCCTCATCATCGTCGTCATCATCATCACTCTCTCTTTCTTTCTCTTGCCCATAGCTGGGAGCCAATAATTGAATATATCAATGACCAGTATGAGCGCTACTTAAGAGAGGAGATCCTCATCAAGCGCAAACGGAAAATCCCTGACACCCGAGTTCATGCCTGCGTGTATTTTGTGCCACCCACTGGTCACTGGTAAGTCTTTCTCACTCCATGCCAGGTTGCATGGGTTACTTATATAGAGTATAGAGTTTCATCATTGTGAGCTGTCTTCTGATGGAGCCAAAGATTTGGAAAGACCTTGGAAGTCATCTAGTTCAAATGCTGGATGCAATAGCAGCATCCCAGACAGGCATCTGTTTAAGTCCCTCCAGCAAAGGATAGACCACCACTTCCCAGGATAAAATGTTCAACTCTCAAACAGCTCATGTTGAGTTACTTCCTACCTCTGGGCAAGAGCTGTTTGAGAATGGAGCAGTTGACAACTAGTTTCTAGTCACAATAACAAGATGGAAGGAAGTTACTTTTTGTCTGTTATGACTGCAGCTATAATTCACTACTTTTCAGTGGAACGAAAATGGTTATTCTGACAATTACTTGTTACTGTGAATGTCTGACACGGAATAGGGACTCATTTCCTGACTCCACTCCAGTCATACAAGGGACTTGGCACAGGTAGACAACTTGTGGCTATCCAGATGGTTTTGGCTTCTACAGTTAGCCGTCCATATCTGTGGATTCTTTATCCATGGATTCAACACAGCTTGAAAGCATTCCAAAAAATACTTTTGATTTTGGTATCCACGGGAGGTCCTGGAACCAAACTCCAGCGGACACCAAGGGGGCACAGTACTTCCCGGCTACCCTAGTTAGGATCATAGAATCATAGAGTTGGAAGAGACCCCAAGGTCCATCCAGTCCAACACCCCCCTTCTGTTATGCAGGAACTCAAACTCAAAGCATCCCTGACAGATGGCCATTCAGCCTCTGTTTAAAGACCTCCAAAGAAGGAGACTCCACCATTCTCCGAGGGAATGTGTTCCACTGTCGAACAGCTCTCACTGTCAAGAAGTTCCTCCTAATGTTGAGCTGCAATCTCTTTTCCTGTAGCTTGCATTCGTTGTTCCAAGTCCTATTCTCTGGAGCAGCAGAAACAAGCTTGCTCCATTCTTAATAGGACACCCCTTCAAATACTTATATAGGGCTATCATATCACCTCTTAACCATCTCTTCTCCAGGGCAAACATACCCAGTTCCCTAAGTCGTTCGTCATAGGGCATAGTTTCCACGATGGTCAATAGTGAGGTATTATGGGAGTTGCCATCCAAAACATCCTCGGGACCACGCATTGCCTTTTCCCTAGTGTAGTAAAAGCTCAAGGCTGGGGTGCTGGGGGATTCAATTCCTTCAAGGAACGGTTCCCTATTTGCCCTCCATGCCTCTTGGAGCCAACGCAGCCAACAGGTATGATAGTGAGGAGCACTGGGACGGCTTTGATCAGCCAGGGGAAGCCAGGGGGTGCTTCGTGCCTTGCATACCTCAGTACCTGCCAGGAATCTCTGTCATTTTCAATTAAACAAACTATTTTTCTCCTTTAAAAAAAAATGGGGGGGGGGGAATGAACTGCCAGGCTCCTTGCTCTACTCTCCATCTCCTCCCCCTCCAATATCTGTGGATGCTTCTCTTTTCCCCCCAACATCTGCGGTGCAGCTGCTATCCTGCCTCAGCTCCCGGATCTGCCTCAGGTCAGCAGGAGACAGCGCTCCAAAGCCAGGAGTGCCCAGCTAGATGCTGCAGAGAGAGCGTTCTTTGGATTGGGCAGAGAGTGTCTCTCAATCAGTCCCTAAATCAGGAGGAAGCCTTTTTCTTTCTTCTTCCCCACTTTTAAAAATAATTCCAATAGACCATCTGTGCTAATGATGGGTTTATAGATGCACAACTCCCCCTAAACGTCTTAGGAATTGCAAGAGGAACACCTTGTAGGCTCCCATCCAAGTACTAAGCATAGCTTGCGAGATCAGAAGGGTTCTGGTGCCGTGAGGGTATTTAGACCCTAACTCCTGTTGTTGTGGCGTGCTTTTCAAGTCATCTCCGAT